ACCTTATTGACTTATAGTAAAAGAATCTTTAATTTACAGTATAATGCTATACAGTTAGAAGACACATTTACTGTTCATTCAATCACTTTAGCCTATATGTATTATAGAATTTTTCTTGACAATCAAAGAATTATATTTTTGAATATAACCTCATGACAAAAATATAAAAAAAACTCACATAACTATATATAAATTGTAATTTACATTTAAATATTGATGTTAATATTATTTAATTTATAGCAAATGTGAGGCTAGACCATCTATACAAAAAATCAAGTATTTCAGGACAAGAAATGAATCTGACAAGAAATGAATTTGCAAACATTGTAAATAGATGTAGATTGCTTCATAAATAATATTTCCTGATGTTGCGTAAATAATAAAAGAACAAAAAATTTAGTCTTTGGAGTGTTGACTACTAGAACTAGTTGAACGTGAACGGCGTTTAAATTTCGGTTGATTATTAGAGTCCGACATATTGTCACTCTTTCTTCGATTCTTATCTGCATCGTAATTGGGATTAGAGTTGTGTGTCCTTCTATAATCATTACGTCTATCATAATATCTATAATTTTCTCTGCCTGGTCTATTTATTCTATAAGAATCTCGCCTGCGTGGATAATAGTTTCGTCTATTTCGTCTGTCACGACTATTCCTACGATCATAATCCCTGTCCCGAGATCTTCTGCGATCCCGTGATCTCGAGCGACCACTTCCTCGTCTTCTACTCCTATCGCGCGAATCACGTCGCGAAGATCTATCGCCGTAAGATCGATGTGAGTCACGTTTTACTGACTTTTCATTTTTATGTTTTCCATCTGTTTTATCCTTTATCATCGAATCATTTACATCAGAATTGGTGTTCAAGTTATCAGGATCCTGTTCCATGTTTTTATTGTCGACCGTCTTTTCTTCTAACTGATCGTTTTCTTTGTTCTCAAGCTCTTCAGATACCCGTGCATCAGTATCAAACTTGTCTATTATTTGATTATCTTCGTCCGGATTCTCTGTGAACTTTTTAATTCTATCTGCTTCACGCTTCTTGGTTTCCTCTTCTTTCTTTAAACGTTCCTTTTCTAATTTCTGCGGTACAATTTTATAATTACACAATATTGTAAGTAAAGAAAGAACTGCTAACTATACATTACATGCATATTTAGACTTCTGATTTTCAATAAGTGTGTCTTACAAGTATAAATCTGGAAATCTTTTTTCTCGCCCCCCCCCATGTACAATTGCAAAACAATCAATTTAAAAAATTATGCAAATTTTCAATATAAGGGATGATTTATGTTTCTAATAATAATCACTCATGCAGTTACTCTCGTTATTCTACAGACTGAATACGCATTAGCAGAGTATATGAAGAAATTTAATTTCACCACGCAATGGAGGAAATCTTTGTTTTACAGAAGACAGTCAAAGAAAATACAAATCACATTTTGTTTTCAATACAGAAATCAGGAGTTTTGCAAAACGTGTGTCGATGATAACGGTAGCCAACGCTGATATAGCGGTCAATTACTTAATTGCATAATATAACAGAACCACCAAATACTAAATACGTTGAGCATTAAACACGAAAGAAAAAGTTAAAATTTCTTAAAAATTGTTATAATTATAAAATGTCTAGTACCTGAAATTCATGTAATTTAATTGTACGATTCTGAGCCTGTTTCCAATGAGGTGGTGTGACGCTTCTCGAACGGCTACGTGAGGGTGTATGATATCGCTGTAAATTTGATTATAGGTATTTACCTTCATTGTTTGATTAAAGAAGTTATCACAATTTACAATCGAAATATTTTTAAATATTTGAAAAATGCATACATACCGTGTACCATAAATTGTACACAAATACTTACAAATATTCCTCTTCCTTTAAATACACGACCAGTTTTTCTATGTGATCGTACCCGATCCCTTCCATAGTGTTGTCTAAATTCTTTTTGATTTGCATTATTAGTAGGCCCTGCTCTGTACAAAAATTTATTCGCTGGAACTTCCGGTATTTCATCTGGATCAATTTTCGTTACTGATACAAGTGGATGAGGTTTTCCAAGATCATCTTCATTTGAATCGTGTATTTCGCCGTCTTCTGACTTCGCCCTTTTTTTACTGCAATATTAACAGAAGCTGTTATTTAACTGATTGCTAACTTTAACTTTTTAGATGAATTCCAGAACATATACTTTTTCTTGGCTTTTTTCTTCTTTTTCGACTTTTCTGCGTAAGAATCTGAGTCTGAGCCTGACGAACTACTCTCTTTTGTTTCGCGTTTCTTTGCTACAAATAATAACAATGAAATAAATTTTAAAGTTAATTATTTTTTCAAATAAATTGTTGTACAAATTCAACGTACCTTTACTTTTGACCTTTAACACAAGCTCTCCACAATTTACAACCTTAGCATCTTGTAGTGGACGGGACATACGGTCTACTGGAAGTCCCTCAATATGTGAAACAATTTCCTGGCCAGATACTACTTCTCCAAAAACCACATGGACACTGAAAACGTTTATATTCAACTATAAGTATAGTAATCGAAAATAATTGCAGAAAGAGTTCAAGGCAATATTTACTATTACTTACTTGTCGAGGTGAGGCGCTGGTTGTGTTGTACTACAACAACAAAATATGATTAAGGGGATGAGAGATGAACAGAAAGAGCCAGCTTTCATTGGTCATTGTGTTGTAGTAGTGGTGTGCAGACCCTTCCCTCATGACTACACAGAAATATGGCTAAGTTATTCATTCCTCCAAAGATATTCTTATTTCTATGCTTTCTAATATTCTTCAGACGTACGATATGATTTCATACCATAGACATACTTTTGTACTATTATAGACTATCAAATTTAAAATGACCTTACATAGCATCAGTAATTGGAAAATGATAGATCTATTAGAAATATCAAAACACACCCAAATTTCATTTTATTTAATTAATGTATCTCCTGTTATTGATTTAAAGCACATTTAAAAATATACTAAAGCCTNACTATTATAGACTATCAAATTTAAAATGACCTTACATAGCATCAGTAATTGGAAAATGATAGATCTATTAGAAATATCAAAACACACCCAAATTTCATTTTATTTAATTAATGTATCTCCTGTTATTGATTTAAAGCACATTTAAAAATATACTAAAGCCT